ACACCACCTGTCAGGTCACCAGCAATGGCTCAAGCAGGTCTGACCTTGCTGATGAGACAACGTACGTCGAAACCGGTCACGAGTTTGTTGCTTGTGCTGAATCAAAGCTGCTGAAACGATTCACTCCCAGGATGCCGTGGGGCTGGCCGACGGATCGGCGAAAGAATAGTGGTGATGGGTAGAGACGGATACATGGACGGGGTGGAGTCATTGTTTGTTTATCGTTTCTGAATATAGTAAACAATCTTGGGGGGGGGGGGATGGGGTCCAGTTCGAGTCGCTGTTGTTGGGAGCTGGCAGCGAGTGAGTTGGACTGGCGGGGTGGGTGGGTGGGGGGCTGGAGGGAGGGGGAGCAAGGGGGTAGTTTGGGGGGGCACAATGGTCGAGGCAGCTGGGACATCATAATTAACTCATCGCCGACAATGGAACCACTTACCAACTTGGCAGATGAACAGCGGTGTGAGCGGAGCCAGAGCCCGGCCGTTAGGATGTTGTGTTGCTCCGTGCGCGTTTCTCTCTCTCTCTCTGTGTGTGTCTCTCTCTCTGCGTATTTGTGCCATGCGTTTAATTTGTTGAGGACACGGAGACATTTAGAGTGAAGATCATGAGGCACGTGTGTGTGTGTTTGCGGTTAGCGTGCTACGCTCCGAACCTGGCGACCCGGGTTCGATTCCCGCTCACGGCCAACACCGGTGACGATTATCTGAACCGGTCCTGGGCCTCCCCTAGGTCGACTCGGCCTAAAAGTGGAACCTGGTGCGGTGTGTAAACATCGCCACTGGGGAAACAAAGGCGGTCGGGCGTGTTGCTGGCCACCCACCCCCTGGTGTGCCTTGCCGGCCTTCATAGGTGCTGCTCGCTAAGAGCACTTGCCCCTACATATAAAAAAGATGGTTTATTTTTCTTTTTTAATGCTAGAATATACTGTAGTATTGTCATCAGTATGACATAAGTATACCAAGTTTGCAGTCGATACCACATTGGGAAGTGAGTTAAAATTGAGTTACAAGATTTGAGGATGTAACAACAACAACGACAACAGACAGAGTGAGTGTAAAAATATAAATAATTTAATCCTGTGCAGAGGTGTAAAAGGAGCGGGGGGGGGAGGGGGGGGTGCTGCGTGCAGGCTACGATATCGGAACGAGAATCTTTATTAAAGACCGCTGCAGGAGGAGGAATCCACTGAGCTATGAAGCTCTTTTTGTGCACAAATGTCCAGTATGGGCAGGGCCAGCAAGTTGCAACGTCAAAAACCCAAAAATACAACCAAACGATAGGAGCGCGAAATTGAGAAAGTGGTACGCAAGTCACGTAAAAACCCACAACACAACAGCCCCGTATGAAGAAGGGGAGGCGGGAGGAGGCGGGTGGGTGGCCAAGGGACGCGCGATGAATAATTGTTCGAGGCAGAGGAGAGAGGACTCGGCTCCCAGGATCGTGGTTTTGAAAAAGTCGCGGGCGCGTTAATCGTGAGCCACGGCGAGACGCGCGCGTCTCTCTCTCTGTCTGTCTGTCTGCCTGCGTGGTGCTGGCCACCCACCCCCTCGTGTGCCGTGCATGGGCTTCAGGGGTGCTCGCTTTTACAGCCCCTGCCTCAACAGTCTGTTCAGGCTACGAGGGGGATCTTTGTCTTTGTGGTGAAACGATTCGCGCTACGATCAATACCAGTGAGGATTATTGTTTGAAACGGTCCTGGGACTCAGCCTCAAATGAGTACCAGGTGCGGTGTGTAAAACGATCGCCACTGGGAAGACAAAGGCGGCCGGGCGTCGTGGTAGCCACCCACCCACTCGTGTGCCGTGCCGACCTTCATAGGGGCTCGCTAGCAGCACTTGGTAGAGGCTATACGGGTGAATTTTGTTTATCCTGTATTAGTATAATGACTGCACGTCTACACAGCCACGCACGATCGCTGCCAACACCAAAGGCAAAGATCCCTCATACAGCCAGAACAGACTGTTGGGGCAAGTGCTGTTAGCGAACACCTATGAAGGCCGGAACAGCACACGAGGAAGTCGATAGCCAGCACCACGCCTCGGATGCCTTTGTCTCCTAAGTGGCGATGTTTATACACCGTACCACGTATGATACACATTTGAGGCTGAGTCGACCTAGGAGAGACCGGAGACCGGTTCAGATAATTGTCACCGATGTTGGCCTCGCCGTGAGCGGGAATCGAACTCAGTCCATGGCCGGGTTTGTAGTTGTGGCGCGCGAACCGCTGCGCCACCGCTCCCACACACAAAAAAAAAATGATCCCCCGTATAGCCTTAAACAGACTGTTGGGGCAAGTGCTGTTAGCGAGCACCTATGAAGGCCGGCACGGCACACGAGGGGGTGGGTGGCTAACACCACGTCCGGCCGCCTTTGTCTCCCCAGTGGCGATGTTTACTACACATCGCACCAAGTACTAATTTGAGGCTGAGTCGACCTAGGGGAGGCCCAGGGCCGGTTCAAATAATCGTCACCGGTGTCGGCCGTGAGCGGGACTCGAACCCGGGTCGCCTGGTTCGTAGCGCAGCGCGCTAACAACTACACTACCGCTCCCCACACACAACACACCCACCGACACACACACAAACAGACACACACACAAACAGACACACACACAAACAGACACACACACCCACCGACACACACACAAACAGACACACACACCCACAGACACACACACAAACAGACACACACACCCACACACACAAACAGACACACACCCACAGACACACACACAAACAGACACACACACCCACACACACAAACAGACACACACCCACAGACACACACACAAACAGACACACACACAAACAGACACACACACCCACAGACACACACACAAACAGACACACACACCCACAGACACACACACCCACCGACACACACACCCACAGACACACACACCCACAGACACACACACCCACCGACACACAGTGACACCCCTCTCACACACGTGCAAACTCCCTTCACCACCCTTTTGTTGGGGACGCGTGTTCGCCCCCCACCCCCCAAGCCTCCGTGGCCCCCCTTGCGGCCCCTGCTCGCTGCACAATGACCGGGTCTGGCATCTGGCGCATGGGGCCATCACTGTGGCTTGCCTCTTCCCCCTTTCTTTCATTATTTGGCCCATTCTCCTGCGACAGATGGCGTTTAATTATGAAGCAGCTGATGTCGACGTGTTGGCGAGAGACCTGCCCCTCTCCTCCTCTCTCTCCCCGGCTGCCCCCCCCCTCTCTCTCTCTCCACCCCCCCCCCTTCTCTGTCTCTCACACCGCTCCTGCCCGTGTATCCTCTCCCAGCACCGCATGAATTTTTGATGAGTCGTTAGAAACGCAATCTGTTTGGCAGTCGCCAGTAAGCACGGGACATTGGTGCGTGAGCTCCACTAGCCTGGCTAGGATCCTCCTCCTTATGCTCTCTCCCCCTCCTCCTCCTCCTCCCTCGTCAATCCTCCCCTGCCCCCATCCTCCTCTCTCCTCACGCCTTCATCTTTACACACACACCTCGAGTTCACGCTCCTCATGCTCACACTCTCCGTCAACGCTCATCATCACAGCACTACCAGCAACAGCAGTAGCAACCTCCTACCACCTCATCAATCTCTCCATCACTCCTCCTCGTGCACGTGTGCCCTTCCTTATCCTCCTCCCTCTTCCTCCCCCCCATCACACCCAAAGACTCGAGGCTTAAGGCTTCCTACTCGCCCCCCCCCCCCACCTCTCTACCTCCCCCCTCCACGCCGCTAACTCCCCCGCCCCCTTGTCCTCGTCATGCAATTTTGAGTAAAGATTCTCTCGCCGGGACAAAAAAAAATATCCCCCGTATAGCCTGTAAAAGACTGTAGGCACAAGTGCTGTTAGCGAGCACCTATAAAGGCCGGCACCACGCCCGGCCACCTTTGTCTCCCTAGTAGCGATGTTTACACAACGCACCAGGTACTCATTTAAGGCTGAGTCGACCTAGGGGAGGCCCAAAACCAATTCAGATAATCGTCACTGGTGTTGGCCGTGAGCGGGAATCGAACCCCGGTTTCCAGGCTCGTAGCGCAGTGCGCTAACCGCTACACTACCGCTCCCTAGATTCTCTCCCCGGGACACCCACAAACACACACACAGACACACACACAGACACACACACAGACACACACACAGACACACACAGACACACACACAGACACACACACACACTCTGAGCCTTGGGTTTACACGACGGTGAATCGTAGACTCGGCCCCGGGTGGGCTGGGGCGGGTAGAGGTGGAGTGGGTAGTTTGGGCGGGCTGGTGAGGCTCCCAGTGTCCGTGCCAGTGTGACGCTTGCGGGCAGCAGCAGCAGCCAGCAGCGCCGCTGAGAAAGCCTGGGTTCGAACCCAGTGAGCCGCTATCCGGGCTGCCCGCAGTGCAGCGAGGAGAAGAAGGCAGTCGAACTAAATTGGGTTGATTGCGTAATTTCGTGAGATTCCAGCGAATGTGCGGGAGACGCGTCCTCACACGAGCGGCATTTTTATTATTCGTGAATGTGAGGAGCAAATCGAACACGAGAATTCTGGCGGGAGGCAAAAAACATCCATCACTTCTGTTTTTGAGGTCGACAAAACGAACATTTACTTCATGGGCAGTCGACCCGTGGTTGTTTCATTTTATATCGAGAGAGAGAGACACTTAACTCCCGTCATATAAACGTCGAATTTACAACAAACTGGCTGTGGATTGTTATTCGGCGCGCCCCTTAATCCAGTCGTATCATTGTCAGCGATTTCAGTAAATTCCCTCCTCGCCTTGTGATCTGCTGCGGCTGGCCCCACTGGATCTTGCATTGGGGGGGGGGGGGGGTCATCTGAGACGCGGCATCGGACGACGCGGGAGCCGCGGCACTTGCAAGAAGGCCGTGGCAGCGGTGGCGTCTTCTCGCGGCGCTCCACTCGCGCCTCGCACACCGCAACGGGATGACGACGACGATGGTGACGATGATGACGGTGACGATGGTGACGGTGACGATGGTGACGATGACGATGGTGACGATGACGACGGTGACGATGGTGACGATGACGATGGTGACGACGACGATGGTGACGACGGTGACGATGACGACGGTGACGATGACGATGGTGACGATGACGATGGTGACGGTGACGATGGTGACGATGACGATGACGATGGTGACGGTGACGACGACGATGGTGACGACGACGATGGTGACGACGACGATGGTGACGATGACGATGGTGACGATGACGATGGTGACGATGACGATGGTGACGATGACGATGGTAACGATTACGACGGTGACGATGGTGATGGTGACGATAGTGACGATAACGATGGTGACGATAACGATGGTGACGGTGACGATGGTTATGATGACGATGGTGACGACGACGATGGTGACGATGACGATGGTGACGATGACGACGATGATGATGATGATGGGGACGATGGTGATGGTGACGATGGTGATGATGACGATGGTGATGATAACGATGGTGACGATGACGATGGTGATGATGACGACGATGACAATGGTGATGATGACGATGGTGACGATGACGATGGTGACGATGACGATGGTGACGATGACGATGATGACGATGGTGACGATGACGAAACCGACGATGATGATGAATGGCGTTGCAATGCACGACCACTACCCCTCCTCCCCCCAACTCTCTTTCTCTTCGCCTTGTCCAAAACGCGCACACAGACGCGGCATTGTCGCCTCTACAACTCGCAGATGGCAGTGAGGCGGCGCTTGTCGAGGTTGTTGTCGCCTGTTTATCGTGGTTGACCGCTCTCTAGGTCAGGTTATCACCTCTCTCAAGAAAAAGCACCGTTGAAAGGGACATTTTTTGTTATACATGTGTTTATCTTTGTACGTGATCTGACGAAGGACCATTGCCTGAAACATCGCCTGATGTATTCGTTTGTTAGTTTATTTTAAAGCCGGCCAGTGGTATTGGCGAGTGTTTTGAGTGTTTTTGTTGTTGTTGTTGTTGTTTCGTTTGCTGCGTCTGCCATCTCTATGATTGTGTCAAACTCGACACAGAATTGCCACGGCGTAACGAAGGCACTCGTCTGTGTCAGTACACAGCTGATGGAGGAGGAGGGGGGGGGTTGTTTAACCATACTTCACCTCGCTGGTTAGTGCGCGATCGGAAGTTTACCGTCGTCCAATAAATCAATATAGTGATGATGCGGCACTTACAATTTATATGGCGTCTCAATGGCTATAATACAAAAATAAAATATAGAAGACGCTTTGACCGATACCAACTACACGCGCCGTTTCCTAACAGGTGCGGGAATTGAACCGTGGGGTCCAAACGGCCCGGCTGGGCTCTGCGCCGCATGCGTTTTATCCACATCAGTAGTAATGAGCAATGAGATGTAATTGCCCGGGTGTGTGGTAATTGTGTAATGAGCGAGGTGGTGAATGCCTTTTGCGCAGTCGATGAGCCGATAGTCAAGATGCGTGTGTACGTGAGTGTGCGTGTGTGCGTGAGTGTGTGTGTGTGTGCGTGTGTGAGTGTGTGAGTGTGTGTGTGTGAGTGTGTGTGTGTGTGAGTGTGTGAGTGTGTGTGAGTGTGTGAGTGTGTGTGAGTGTGTGAGTGTGTGTGAGTGTGTGAGTGTGTGTGAGTGTGTGTGAGTGTGTGTGAGTGTGTGTGTGAGTGTGCGTGGGCGCTCTCTGGCATCGCCGCTTCCCTGCTTCTTCCTCCCATCGTCTCTCCACTTACACCCCCACCACCACCACCACCACCCCCACCACCACCACCTCCCATCACCATCATCTTTCCCACCCTCTCCCCGCTCCGGCACATGCTATCACCCAACGAAAAATCCACCATCACCATCATCCCACGTCGCTACACCTACGCCACATCTCACCCACCCAGACCATCATCTCCACACACGCTCTCCCATCCACTCTCCCCCCACCCCCATCAACCACCATCATCACCATCACCCCAACCAACCCCACCTCTCCCCATCCACGCGCGCGCTCTCCCATCCATTGTCGCCCACGCCTCTCCGCCCTTGTCCCTGAACGGGGCTTTCAGCACCATTTAGAAGCGGGCGGCCTCTGGACGCGTGCCCCCCCCCCCCGACCCCCGCCCGTGTCACCATCTGCCAGGGCTTACAGGCTTAGAGGGGCCTCACCTGCTGCTTCCTTCCCTATCGACGACCCCCCCCCCCCCACCACCGTATTAACAGGAGGCCCCCCTCCCCACCCCGCGCGTAAAAAAAACAGACAGCCGTGGACAAGCGTTGTTAGCGAGCACCGATTTAAGGACATGAAACGGCACACGAGGGGTGTGTGTGTGTGTGTGGGGTGTTGGGGGGGGGAGAGCGGCCAAACTCCACGCCCGGCCGCCTTTGTCTTCCCAGTGCTGACGGCGCCGAGGTTATTCGTAGAAAGGCTGAGTTGAGCGCGAGCTGACGCCCGGGACCGGTTCAGATATCCGTCGCCCGATGTTCGCCATGGGCTCGGAATCGGAACTCGGATCGCCGGTTTGGTAGCGCAGGCGGCATCATCATCATCACAATCATCACAATCATCACGATCATCATCGTCGTCGTCGTCGTCGGCCTCTCTTTCTCCTTTTTCCTCCACCCCAACTCCTCTTCACCTCCCCCCTCCCACCCAATTCATCCTCCACCACCACCACCATCACCACAGCGAATATAAATAAAGAAATGCACACATAAATTATTAGATAACACCCTCCCACCCCCCGACCATTACTTATTCTCTGTCTTGGCGCGTGTCACAGCCTCTGCCGCTATTGGCCAGGGGGGTGCGAGAGAGCCCTTCGCCTACTTCGCCTTCACAAAAAGTGTCCAACTCCACCTTTAAAAGCGCCTCTCGCATCGCAGGCAGCCGTCAGAGTCCCCCCCCGGGCACCCGAGTCGACGAGACGCGCTGCTGGAGCGACCGCTCCACTGCTGGATGGGAGCCTCTCCATCTCTCGTTGCCATGCTACGCGTCGTGGTCGTCGTCGTGGTCAGCCGTGGTCGATCCGCTGCTGGATGGAGACCCTCCCCCTGCACTCTAATCCTTTAACGTATGACAAGTGCTAGCATGCTCGCTCGTCTCTTTGTGTGTGTGGTGTGTAATGTGTGTGGTGTGTGGTGTGTAATGTGTGTGGTGTGTATTGTGTGTGTGTGGTGTGTAATGTGTGTGTGTAATGTGTGTGTGTGTGTGGTGTGTAACGATGTGTGTGTGTGTAACGTTGTGTGTGTGTGTAACGTTGTGCGTGTAACGTTGTGTGTGTGTGTGTAACGTTGTGCATGTGTGTAGCGTTGTGTGTGTGTGTAACGTTGTGTGTGTAACGTTGTGTGTGTGTGTGTGTGTAACGTTGTGTGTGTGTGACGTTGTGTGTGTAACGTTGTGTGTGTAACGTTGTGTGTGTAACGTTGTGTGTGTAACGTTGCATTGCCGAGAGGAGCGGTGGCGCTGTGGTTAAGTTGGCGTGCTGAGGTCAGATGTAGAGGCTACGACTAGCGTCACACATCGTTAGCGAGTGGCGATCTCCTAAACCGGTCCCTGCATCTTCCTCTCGCTTCTGCAAACCGCGTCGTAACCAGCATGGTGAAGTATGGTTGGATTATCCCCCGCTATTGCCATGGGATTGCGGGAGGCTTCATCATCCAGCAGTGGATTGGCCGAACGGACTGTGCGTTATTGGGTTATTTCCAGGAACAGTATTTATATTACACGGTGTTACTCTGTTCTGTCACGTTTGTTTGTTGGTGTCACTGCTGTACAGTACTCGGTAACGATGCTATACTCTCCTGCGCAACGACACTAAAAGTTTACACACTCGTCTGTAATAGTAACACAGTGCCATATTTTCCGGATGATAAGATGCAAAAAAAAATTCAAGGGTGCGTCTTGATAATGCGGATCGGTGTGTCTCGCCAGATTTGTATAACTGAACGTGGCAATTGAACACGTAGGAGGCTCTTGCGAACAAATATTATTCACATAAATATTGTGTCGTAACCCTCCACCACCCGATACAGCCAACTAGTAAGGAATTAGTACGGGATTTGTCACGTAAACAAAACGCCGAATAGTGACTACTTAAGCCCACGGGCGATTTGCCCCATGATGATGCTGGTTGATGTAATTACCAGCGAAACGTCTTGCTACTATAATTGTAAATGTTGTGGATTTACTCTCCAACACACCGGTGGGCTGAAGTAGTTACTAATTGGTGCGCTTTGTTTACGTGACAAAACCCTTACAGATATAGCTTTGTCGGGTGGTGGCGGGTTTAACGACAAATTTATATGTACGTGATCTAACCCAACAAAAACCTCGAATATGGACAACTGAACTATATTGATCGTTCCAGCCCATCATCCCTCCGGGACTGATAAAATTTCTACCACTTTGTGGTCGTCCTACAGATAGACTCCCCCCCCACCCACCTCCGCCATATTATGAACGTGAAATTTCCACCACAGTATCTGGTAAAGATTGCTTGTATGCGTGTTCCAAATATGTTTCGTTTGTTAAAAGTGTTTCCCTTCTTACGCCTGCTGTGCAATTACGTCACCTGGCGTGGTGGCTTCGCGAGTTGCGCTGACGATGCTTGGCCTAGCTGCCATCAAATCTTGCAAATTATGAGCAACCCCCCCCCCGCCCCCTAAACCCGACCGGAATGATTGCGCGGTGATTTTGAGAAGGCTTGGCACGACCCCAAACTGGAAGCGGTGTGCCGGGTGTACGGACGCCTGTTGAACTTCTTTCGCACCGTACGTAGTGCACAACCGTGCTCCTCGGAGGTGCTGGGGTGTAGGGGGAAAAATATTTATCGTTCGGCTGTAATGAAGCCCTGTTTCAACACTATTCATCCGTATAACAATTATTATTATTATTTAAAAGTAATCTAACTTTAAGGTATCCATTTCTTGTGTTTTCTAGTTTTGGCGCAAGCGTGGGACATAAGGAGGAGTTGCAGTCTCTTATCGGTGGCTCCTGACTTCGTAAGTGGATTTTTGCTTCTCTGAGCTGATGCCGATGATGTAATGGTTGTTGTGATTATTGTGGTGGTTGCTGTGGTGGTTGTTATTCGTGGTGATGGTGGTGGTGTTTGTAAAACGCTGGCAGCATTATCCTGACAAACGATCGTTAGTTCCCAGCGTAACAAAAACAATGTAATGCGTCTCAAGTGACTAGTGCCATGAAGAAGGGCCATTACCCGAAACGTCACCTATTATATATAGATCTTTCCTTTAAGGCCACGGTGTTCTTGATGAATGTGAGGCTTTGTTTGTAAATTGAATTGAATCATTAAGTGAGTGTTAGAGGTGCTCGCAAACAGCACTTTCCCCAATAGTATTTTGAAGGTCATACGAGGAATCTTTGCCTTGTTGTTATTGTCTGTATGTATGTCGGGGTGTGTGTTTGTGTGCGGAGTTAGAGTGCTGATGGTGTGTGATGTGTGTGTGCGTGGTGTGCGCGTGGTGTGTGTGTTGTGGGGAGCGGTAGTGTAGCGGTTAGTGCTACGCTGCGCTATGAACCCAGTGACACGGGTTCGATTCCCGCTCACGGCCAACACCAGTAAAGATTATTTGAACCAGTCCTGGGTCTCCCCTAGGCAGACTTGGGCTCAAATGGGGTACAAGATGAGATGTGTTAACATCGCCACTAGGGAAACAAAGGCGGCCGGGCATTGTGCTGCTCACCCACCCACCCTTCGTGTGCCTTCATAGGTGCTCCCTAACAGCACTTGCCCCAACGGCCTATTGAGGCTATGGGGGAGGGGGGGGGGAGAATCTTTGTCTCTATTTGTGTGCGCGCGCTTATCGAGGCATTATACAAAGACAAAGATCCCCCTGCCACCCAGCCCGCATAGCCTCGACGGACTTTTGGTGCAAGTGCTGTCGACGAGCCCCTACGGACGGATCGGGGCTGTAAAACTCTCTGGCCGGGGTGGGGTGAGACGGGTTGGTGGCGTCTCGTTACCCGTGTGTGCACGCGGCCGTTGCGTTTTGCCTTTTGTGTGGCGGTGGCGGTGGCGGTTTGGTGCACCGCGCACGCAGTCTGCTTCGAAGGCTATTCGGGGCACCTTTGTCTTTTGCGTGGCGTGCGTTGCTCACTGGGGCTGTCTTGTTTTGGGCAATTAAGCGAGAAGGGGAGAGCGCATTGGAGCCATTCCCCCATCTGCCCCGTGGCTTGGAGAGGGATGGAGTTGGGGGGGGGGGAAGGAGGAGGAGTGGGGTGGGGGTAGGAGGTGGGGGGGGGCATGTGGAATGAGGCAAGCAAGAGCGCTTCCTTAGGGGCCATCAAATATAACCTACAAACTTTACCGACCAGGCTACTTCCACCCACACACACGAAGACAAAGACGTGTAGCCTCGACGGACTGTTTGGGGCAAGGGCTGTTCGTGGGCGCCTATGAAGGCCAACACTGTGGCGCACGAGCTGGGTGCGTGGCCAGCGCCATGCCCGGCCGTCTTTGTCTCCCCAGTGGCGATGGTACTCATTTGAGGCCGAGTCGACTTAGGGGAGGCCCATGACCGGTTCCGATAATCGTCACCGGTGTGGGCCATGAGCAGGAATCGAACTCTTGTCATGGCCGGGGTTATACAAAGACAAAGATTCCCCGAATAGCCTTAACAGACTGTAGGGGCAAGTGCTGTTAGCGAGCACCTATAAAGGCCGGAACGGTACACGAGGGGGTGGGTGGCCAGCACCACGCCCGACCGCCTTTGTCTCCCTAGTGGCGATGTTTACACACCGCACCAGGTACTCATTTCAGGCTGAGTCGACCCAGGGGAGGCCCAGGACTGGTTCAGATAATCGTCACCGGTGTTGGCCGGGTCGCCAGGTTCATAGCGCATACACACAGAGATACACAAAGATACACGCAGGTTTATACACACACACGCAACGTTGACATACACACAGAGATACACAGAGATACACACAGGTTTATACACAACAACAACAACAACAACCGCCATTCGCCACTAAGTGGCGGTGACGTCACCACGACGCTTGTGCCAGGCTATGTGCACCCTGAGGCCACGTGAAGTGTCTATACACACACGCATATGTCTATACACACACACACACGCATAGACATACACACAGAGATACACAGAGATACACAGGTTTATACACACACGCATAGACATACAGACAGAGATACACACACACACACACAGATACACACAGAGATACACACACGTATAGACACACACACAGAGATACACACACACAGAGATACACACAGGTTTATACACACACAGAGATACACACACACAGAGATACACAGGTTTATACACACACACACACGCATAGACACACACAGAGATACACACACACAGAGATGCACACAGGTTTATACACACACACCATAGACATACACACAGAGATACACACAGGTTTATACACACACACAGAGATACACAGAGATACACACAGGTTTATACACACACACGCACAGACATACACACAGAGATACAGAGATACACACAGGTTTATACACACACATATGGACATACACACAGGTCTATACACACACACACAGATACACACAAGTCTATATATATACACACACAGATACACACAGGTCTATACACACACATATAGACACACACACAGAGATACACACAGGTTTATACACACACACACAGATACACACACACAGAGATACACACACACAGAGATACACACACACACAGATACACACACAGATACACACACACACACACGTATAGACACACACACAGAGATACACACAGGTTTATACACACACACAGAGATGCACACACACACAGAGATACACACAGATACACACAGGTCTATACACACACACACGGACAAGACAAAGATTCCCCGTGTATTCCTACTATACTTTTCGGGCAAGTGCTGTTTGCGGGGAGCTATTAAGCCTGTCACGGCGCACGAGGAGGTGGATGGGCAGCACCACACCCAGCCGCCTTTGTCTCTCCAAATGCTGATGTTGTTCACCCGCCCCACCCCCGCTCCAGTGCTCACTGAAGACTCGCGGAGTCTGTGGGCACGTTGTGATGAGGTTGAGGCCACAGCGAGGTCTGGGGCGGGCTGGGAGATCCTCCCAGAGGCCTGAGCGGAGCGCAGCGGTGAGTCCTGTTACAGATTGTTCTATCCCCTCCCAAAGACAAAGATCCCACGTGTAGCCTGAACAGACTGTTGGGGCAAGTGGTGCCAGCGAGCACTTATGAAGGCCGGCAGGGCACTCGAGGGGGTGGGTTGCCAACATCATGCCCGGCCGCCTTTGTTCCCCGAGTGGCAATGTTTACACATCGCACCAGGTACTCATTTGAGGCTGAGTTGACCTAGGGGAGGCCCATGACCGGTTCAGATAATCATGGTATTGGCCGTGAGCGGGAATCGAACTTGGGCCGCTGGGTTCGTAGCGCAGCACGCTAACCCCTGCACCACCGCTCCCCCCATCGTGTCCATTACCACCACCATCCTCACCAGCAGCCCCTACTCACCAGTAGCACATCTCCCTCACCCAGCCACCTACCTCACCACCACCTGCACATCCTACTCACCTACTGGCCTACCCCTCACCACCACTACCCCACTCACCCACTCACCGCCACCACATCCCACACCCACCCATCAACACCCCACCCTTCACCACCGCCACCACCACTCACCACCACTATATCCCACTCACCCACAGACTGCTATCACATCCCGTTACCCCACCCGCCCCTCGTCACAATCACTTCGCACTCCCCGACCAGAACACCACCACTACCACATCCACTCCTACAATCACCACCACCAGCAACCACCAACCCCGTGGCTAGCACCGAGTGCATTTCCATTCTGCACGCTAAGTGTGGGGTTGGCGAGTCCGTTATAATTATCTTTTTATTTATATTCTTGTTATTGTTGAAGCACGGAAGAGATATATATTCTTTGCCCGAGGTTGTTGCCGCCTTTCGTGATGATGAATAACGAGTACGGAACTTCCCTCCACCTCCCCCTCCCCTCTCCCTGCACCTCCACCACTGCTCTCCTGCCGCCCGCAATTCCTGTGGAATTAAATTTTTTCCCCTTCCGATCTCATGCTCCACCGGCCAATTTGTCCATTTTAATTGAAGAATAAATGGCGTTTGAGACACATGATTTGCTTTTTTTACGCCTGGGAGGATGAGCGACGCTACGCACGATTATTCAAAGAGCCGACGGGACGGGGGTCTTTGCTGAGTGGGGAGAAAGGGGGGCGAGTGGTGGGTGGGGGGCAGGAGGGCGGGGGGGGACGGGTGAACTCTCCGCTGCTGCGTGAAACAGCATTAACAAACGAGGTGGCCAGGCGTGCTTTTGACAAGCGTGGGGTTAAATGTACAGACGGACGGTCAGCGCGCTGGACTTGCCATCCAGAGGGCGCCGGTTCGATTCCCTCTCCCAGCACGGCAGTCGAAGCGACGGTGCAAGTTTCTCAAATCCGCCACCACCAACACCACCAACACCACCACCACCACCCACCGCTGCCACTGCCCCACCCAGCAGCTGACCTAGGAATGGGTTCACCACAGTTAAGTCCGCGATGGGCAGGTCGAGTGTGCGGTGGTGGGGTGACACGTGGGCACGTGCGTCTCTCTCCGAGACGCGCCCGGTCAGCGCGGACGAGGGGGTTCCTGTCAAGACGACCCGCTAGTGGGAAGCAACTTGCGTCACCGGTGGCGTGCGAGCGAGCGAGGCATTGCGGGGCTGCGCCTTTTCCGTTCCGCTCGCAGGCAGCGTGAGTTGGCTTGCGTGTGTGCACAATGGGATGGGGAAACCAGGTCGTGCCATGAGTGAATCCTCCTCCTCCGCGCGTGACTCTCGGCCTTCGAGTTGTCTGATTGCACCGCGCTGTACGACGCCAAGCGAACACGACAACGGAGAGCAAATCCGTTTTGTTGCTGTTAACACCGTGGCCTTGAAAGGAAAAAAACATTTAGATACATCAGTTTGACACGTAGGCTTTCGCGAATATCATCCATAATTTAGGCTTTTTGGGTTGGATCGCAATCTAACCCAAAACGCCTATCTCATGGACGTGTAAATATATTTAATAACGACAATCGTATTCCTTCGCGGATGACAGCAACGTGTTGGGCGGCTAAATGCCCCCGCGTGGAGGATTTGATGGCCTTGACGAGAGAGGGCTGCAGGAGAGAGTTTATTTATTTTCCTCGCATATCTGGCGCTCTTCACTGCGTGACAGTCGCGTGTCAACGCATTCGCTAAATAAATCAGAGAAGGTTTGTCTCGTTTTGCAGTTCCTCCTCCTCCGTTGGAGGAGTGCAGACGACACAGTGGGTTTGCCGTGTGCTCCGTGCTGCCGGTTGCATAGCCACATTCGCACTCTGGCTTGCTTTCCATTTTATCTCCAGGAGTCAGTCTCTGCGAGTCTCTGCGTCTCTACAAGTCTCGTCGTATATTTGCGGGCCTCTATGTTCGCTAAGTGTCTCGGCGGGGTTCTCCGCGAGTCTCCTGTGGGTTCAGGGTAGGGTCCATAGTTTGGGTCGCATGGCCACGGTCGCAATGCCGTGGTTCGTGCCTCGGATTTTCCAGTCACGAAGGAGACGTGGCCGCCTATCGGCCCGGTGATTTTCTGCTGCGGTTGATGGTTCCACCACAGAGTGTCTCTGAGGAGGAGGAGGAAGTGAAAGGCAGGCGGTGTGCAATGTTTGAGTATTGAATGTGGTTGTTTCATTCTGGAAAGAATAATAATACTATTTTTTTCTGTATGATAAGCGACGTTTATTGCATATGCCGCGTCGAAGGCCCAGTGTCTGAAACGTCTGCTATTATTATTTAGTTTTTCCTTTTAAAGGCCACAGTGTTGTTATTGACTAAGCTGTTGAGTGGTGGTTGTTGTTGTTGTTGGCTGTGCTTGTGTACTGAAGCTGACGAAGCAGCAGCAGCAGTAGCAGCAGGTAAAGTGTGTTATGCTTTGGTTTGGGTTTTATTTTCTAAAATATAAAACAAGAACCACCATCAACACAACAGCCACCATCACAGCAACAACCACACTCCACCGACCACCACAACTACCACCGCCAACATCGCGACAACCAGAACCACGCATCAACCTGAACAACCACCGCAATGCAACAACAACACCGCCACAAAACCACAACCAACAACAAGCACCACAACAACAGCATCTATACCATCAGCACCACCGCCATCAACACCACCACCACCACCACCTCCCCTCTCTCTCTCCATCTCGCGATGGGAGAGAGAGAGGGTGCAGGGGGATAGGCGCCTCCAGCAATCATCCAGCGCTCTTCCCACGTCAAATTAGATGGAGGTGGGGAGGAGGCGGCGGCGGGGGCAATCAACTCAAAACGGGAGGGAGGGGGGGGGGTATGAGGAGCTGAGAGCGTGAAGCCAGGAAGGTGGTGGGTGCAGCTGGAGTCCGGAGGGGGTAAGAGGGGGTTTGGGGGGGGGCATGGGGGTCTCCCGCACGCTCCCCACCCCCCCAACTCAATAGCTCCCTAAGCCAATCTGTCACTCAGCCACAAGGAGCTAAAGAGGCGAATTGAATGGCGGTCTAACTACCCCATCAACCCTCCTGCTCCCCCCTCCCCCCCCCCTCTAAGCTATAAGCGGCTTCTCCACACCCACCCCCTCCACCGCCTCCGTGTCTAATGGTGTCTACACGCACCACGTGTGCCGCTACAGCTCCCCAGCGTCAAACTCAGATTCTGAATGTCGCCCCTAAAGCGTCGGGAGTGGCTCATTTCGAGATTGGGGTGGGGGCGGTGGGGGAGGGGGCGGTGGGGGAGGGGGGGGAGGCGGCAAGAAAACCAAAAGCCCCCCCCCATTCTCATCGCGTTCAAATTCAGGGCTTCGCGCAGCCAATTTGTGGCCAAAGTAGCCTCTGCTCCCAGCTGTAGCGCCGCCGCCGCCGCCGCTGTCAAATCGATCGCTGCTGCCGAGGCCGAGGCTGCTGCTGTTGCTGCTTCAAGTGGTGGTGGTGCTGATCCTGAAGGAGGAGGAGGAGGAGGGGACGGGGCGGGGGGGAAATCCATTCCTCGTTTGTTTTATAGGAGGGCTCGGAGTTAGGTGGACCGTGGGTGGTTGGGTAGGCGTGGGTTTTTGTCTGTGTGCGTGCATCTGTGTGTCCGTCTGATGTGCCTGTGCTTCTGTCTGTCTCTGTGTGTGGATGTGTGTAGCAGTGCTACGAAGCCGGCACCCCGAGTTCGATTCCCGCTCACGGCCAACACCGGTGACGATTATCTTAACCACTCCTGTGCCTCCCCTAGGTCGACTCAGCCTCAAATGAGTAACCTGGTGCGGTGTGTAAACATCGCCACTGCGGGAGACAAAGGCGGCCGGGCGTGGTGCTGGCCACCCGCTTCCTCGTGTGCCGTGCCGGCCTTCATCAGTGCTACCCACTAACAGCACTTTCCCCAAAAGTCTATTAAGGCTATCGGGGGGATCTTTGTCTTTATCATTGCAGGCGATGACTCTGGGAGAGAAGGGACGAGGTCAGAATTCTGTGCTCACCAAGGCGCTCACCGGGACTCACGGAGCGAGGGCCCACGGAGATTTCTCAGGGATGTAAAATCCGCCGGGTGCTGCCATGCCGGTGACTCCACGTCTCGTCTGACGGCAAGCGAGGCCGATACCGACCAGGCCACATAACCGCCAATGCCACGACCACCACCGTCGACTAACTCGACCCGACTAACGGTGCAGCCTTCGTTGGCAGAGTGGCTTCCAACTCTCCTTACACCAACAACAGAGTATCGTCAGCGATTGATTTCTCCTATTTTACCATCGTAATCATCTTCATTTGCCCTTGATTTCTGGATCTCCCCCCATCGCCCTCGCCCCCCATCGCCCCCCCTATTTCCCCCCCCCCATCGCCCCCCCCCAAACAAACACCTCCACCAAACAGTGGAGTGGGGTGGCGGGCGGGGGGGACAAGGACGTACATTCTGGAGCCCCAGTGGAAATGTAAGCCCTGATCATCGTCACCGCCATCGCCATCGATCATCATTTCACTTTTATTTTCATTTAATTTTGTAAACTTTGCAGCTGGCGTCTCTCCCGTAATGTTATTTAATTTATAACCTCATGCGGTCGTGCGCGGACTCCGATCAGACTTGCACGCTGGGCGGACCGCAGCTTTAAGACCTGACGGAGTTGTTTTTGTCGACGGACGAAGGCTTGTGGATTGTGGCGGGCAAAAATGGCTCCCCGTTTATCGATTGGTGACCAAAATCCTGATCGTTCAATAACGTGCAGGTCACTTATCGTGGCTGTGAGGCCTCGGGGCTCCAGTCGGTAAGCCATCGCAGACTACAAACAGCCTTGAAAAAGAAAGAAAAAAACTTAAATAGCTGACGTTTCAGGCAATGGCCCTTCTTCATGGCACGCAACTAGAGACAGGCCAGTTGAGACCGAGCGGGTAATGAGAGCTGGGAGATTGCTCGTAATACCGTGGTGCCTGATGATGAAGGTTAAAAAAAAACCGCGTTGTTCCTCCTTATGACCGGGGTTTTAAATTGAAACATGAATAGTCATCCTCCTGTGAGTAGCTGTCGAGTTCTGACGGACAAACCCTTCGTTAATCAAAAAGGCCTCGCTTCACAAATGGTTGCATAGGAACGCGTCCATTGGGGAAGGGCGCTAGGGAATGGGTGGGGGCGCTGCGCGATACACCCCCCCCGCCTTGGAACAGAACAAGACACGCACGCACTGACGTACTCATAGTCCGACGTTTCGGACGATGCCCCCCCTCTTCATCGCAAGAGGCGTGCGTGTGAGTGAGTGTGTGTGTATGAAAGAGAGCGAGGTGTGTGTGTGTGTGGAGAGCGAAGGAGGGAGAGGTTGTGTATGTAGGCGTGGAGAGAGGAGGGAGATAGGAGGGGGGATAGGAGAGAGGGGATGCGGAGAGCAAGGGGAGAGATCGGAGAGAGCCATGAGAGGGACGGGCAGAGCGATGGAATTGAGCAGTCTCGTAGCGACTCTGCGCACCCGCGAAATAATTCAACGTTTAAATTGCTGAATAATTACAATTGGAATGGACGCCTGTGCAGTGAATAGGAACAGCCTGCTCGGGCCCAAACACGAGCAGCGCTGCGTGGCATCTGAGATTGCGAATTCACGGGAGGCCAACGGGGGGGGGGGGGGGGGGTGGGGGCTTTGTCCAGTTGAGGGCCCCCGTAGGTTCACCGGGGAGCGAGGGGACCAGTCCCCCCCCCCCCCCCGCACTCCGCGCGGCGACGACGGCGTTGTTGATTCGGCTGGCACCCCCCGCTCTCGTCCTCCCTGAGTTTCCCCCACCGCTCGCTGACAAACCCACGGGGGGACGGGGGGGGGGACGGGGGGGGGGGACGGTGGCACGGACGAGGCCACGCCACGCGCGCCTTGCGCCACTGGGCCACCCATGAGCTGTGAGCAACCGGAGAGTTCGGGGCCGGCATCGGAGCGCGGAGGCGCCAAGGCAGTCGCCCGCCGGCACTCGCCGTCGGGAGCTGCATCCGAGACGTCGTTGGCAGTGCGTGCGTGTCTGTGCGTGTCTGTGCGTGTCTGTGCGTGTCTGTGCGTTGTCTGTGCGTGTCTGTGCATGTCTGTGCGTGTCTGTGCGTGTCTGTGCGAGCGCGCGGGGAGCGGTGAGCGCAGCGGTGAGCGCAGCGGTGAGCGCGCTGCGTCTACGAACACGGCGGCACCCGAGTTCGATTCCAGCTCCACGGCCACCGACGCCAGTGACGATGATCTGAAACCGGTCTTGGGCCTCCCCCCTAGGTCGACTCGGCCTCAAAATTAGCCCCTGCTGCGGTGCGTAAACCTCGCCGCTGGGGAGACAAAAGCGGACGGGCGTGGTGTTGGCCACTCGTGTGCCGTGCCGGCCTTCGTCAGTGTTCGCTAACAGCACTCGTCCCGAAAGCAGGCGAAGGTTATAGAGGGGGGTCTTTGTATTTTGCATGCCTGCGTGGGTTAGCGATGGCGTGTCTGCATGCGTGTATGTTGTGCGCCAGCGTGCGTGTACCTGCGTGTCTGTGCGTGTCTGTGCATGTACCTGCGTGTCTGTGCGTGTCTGTGCGTGTCTGTGCGTGCCGTGTGCGTGTTTCATTGTTTCATTTTGGAAGTGGGCGGAAGGCTTTGGCAGAGAAACGGCCCTTTGCCAATTTCGTTTTTCCCGGAATCAATTTGCAGGAATTGTGTTGTGTTTATTCAGAAATTATGACCGCATTTTCGCTAAACGTGTGGCATTAGGGGCTGAAAGAGCAAAATAACAAATCAACAGCGTGGAGGTGGGGTAAGAAAACAATATCTGGAAACAAAACCTATAGGCACGTCATCCGCACTCATTTAAATGTAAATGATTTTGTATAAAAACAAAGACAAAGATCAGCCGCATAACCTGAAGAGGCTGTAGGAGCAAGTGCTGTTTGCGAGCAGCATCGAATGAAGGCCGGCACAGGGAGGGGGTGGGTGGCCAGCGCCACGCCCGGCCGCCTTTGTCTCCCCAGTGGCGATGTTTACTACACACCGCACCAGGCACTCATTTGAGGCCGAGTCGACCAAGGGGGAGGACCAGGACCGGTTCGGATAATCGTCATCGGTGTCGACGGTGAGTGGGGAATCGTCGCCGGGTTCGTAGCGCAGCGCTAAACTGCTGCGCCACCGCTCCCCCGCGTACACAAACACTCGCACACACACACACGGCGGGACGCGTCGCGCGATCAACAAGCGCCTGCATCTCAACTCCCCAGCCACATAGCTCTAGTGGCAGATTGCAGTACAGAAAGTAGGCTCGTGAAGCCACCCGTATTTGTAAAGCCGAATTTAGATGAGCAGGCAAAATATTTCCTGCACAAACTCGGCTCTGCACGTGTAATAATTTGAAAAAAAGTATTTCTTTACTGATTGGCTGTGTCGGGTGGTGGCGGGTTTAGTGACGCATTTATATTTACGCGATTTAACCCCGACAAACCCCCCCTATATTATGGAAGTATTGCCAACACGGACTTCTGGGAGCGTGTAATTTCAGCGGCTTTCATTCCAAATACGAGCCAAACTCTGGACCGGTTGCAACACGCGATGTCTCATCAGCAGCCAGATAATTTTAGAGGCAATGACCCCTCTCTTTCAGCCATGGGTCCGTGTTCAATGCAATGATTTGTACCATACGTGGACAATGCAAATATAATCACTAGCCATCGCTGCAGAGAAAATAAGTAATTTTATCTCCCCCCAGAGGAATGATGGTGATGATGATGATGGGCTGAGTGAATGACAACATCCCCGTTATGATTGGTATCATTAGCCTTACCATCTGGCCCACGAACCACTCAGTGACGTTGCTCACAGCTCAATTGCTCCCTGGGAGGGGTGTCGGATGGGGTGGGGGGTTAACGGAGGAGGAGGGGGGGGACATGCCCCCCCCCCCCACCACCATCAAGCCAGTAGATTGGTCCAGCTACTAACCAGTACTAACAATACTAACCCGATGTACTGCTCTGCCTGAACCTGTGCTCGGACTAACTCTCACCGCTACTAACCGGTCACCTCCGGTGGTCGCCCACTCGGAGTCGCAATGTCGTCGCGGTTACGGCTATGCTCCGGATATGGGGAATTCTACCCCCCCCCCCCCCCATTAACTGCAATCGTGGTTAAAGTGCGGATATCGAGAATGCCGGACCCTATTAACCGTGAACGTGGTTAAAGTGCGGGTACCGGGAATCCCACCCCCTATTAACCGCGATCGTGGTTACTGTGCGGATATCAGGAATCCCGCCCCCCATTAACCGCGATCATGGTTAAAGTGCGGATATCGGGAACCCCACCCCCCTTAACCGCAATCGTGGTTAAAATTCGGATATCGGGAATGCCGGACCCTATTAACCGCGATCCCGGGTATCGCGATGAGCATAAGGTCACTCTTGCTTGCGCTACTAACACAACTAATGTACTAATGTTACTAACACACTAACTCACTAATTCTCTTGACTAATAATCAACTAACAGTCGCTACGAAAACGCTTGTGCGCTGCTGTGTTGCGTACGGACGAGCGCGCGCGTGCGTGTGCGTGTGGTCAGCGCACTGCGCTACGAACCCGGCCAACCTCGGTTCAATTCCTGCTCACGGGCAGCTGATATTAGTGGCACCCCCACACCCACCCCTCACTGGGTTCGACTCGGTCCCTTGCACGAGAGTTGTGCAGTTTATAAACATCAGAAACCTGGGGGGGGAGGGAGACAAAGGTGGCCGGGCGGATGTACGAGCGAGTCGCTGGCGACACCAACCCCACCCTCCCCTTCCCCCTATTCGTGTTCCATGCTCGCTAACAGCATTTGGCCCCGACGGTCTAGAGAGATTATACCTCCTACGTGTGTGTGTGTGTTTACGTCTTTGTATATATTGTATATAGTGGGGAGCGGCGGTGTAGCGGTTAGCGCGCGCTGCGCTACGAAACCCGGCGAACCGAGTTCGATTCCCGCTCACGGCCAACACCGGTGGCGATTATCGGAGACTGGTCCTGGGGTCTCCCCCTGGGTCGACTCAGCCTCAAAATGAGTAACCTGGTGACGGTGTGTAGTAAACATCGCCACTGGGGGAGACAAAGGCGGCCGGGCGTGGTTGCTGGTGGCCACCCACCCCCTCGGGGACCTTCATAGGTGCTGCTACTCGCTCACAGCACTTGCCCCTGCAGTCTGTTAAGGCTGTCTTTGTTATCTATTTTGTATAATTCTAACACGGCTTAGAGTACTAACACTCACACGCGCCGCGCGCTAATACATTATAGGTAATAAGAAGAGCTCGTGACCACCGATATAAATGATGCTTCTTAGAGACAATAATGGGCGGAAATTACCCCTAACGATGTTTGGTATCGCAGGGCACATACTCCGGCGAAGGAGAATCTAAAATATTAATGCGTTTATGAACGTCTTGGAGGTGGGTGGGTTGGGGGGAGCATTAATGTCTTAAATTATAATGAGATATTTTCCGCGTCGCATGCTTAATTATCATAGCGCTATTTGTGTCGCCATGCCTATGCTGGAACTATGCTAATTTAAAACCGCAGAGTCGCAGTCGTAGTAATGATGATGATAATTACCGTCGGTATTAGCGATTCTGCTTGGAGGATGGGCGCCGATGATTCGCAGAGATTGGGTTAAATCCTCATCATCATTGCCTTCATCATCATCGTTCAGCAGCAGCAGCATAGTCTATCTGCTGCTGGATCAAGCCTCCCACCTCCTCCTCCAACAACTTTCCCACCCTCTCCTCCACCTCCCCCATTCCTTGGCACACTCCCTATCACAATGCGCGCACACACACACACTCACTCACAAAAAGATTCCCCCGTGTCGACTTTAACAGACTGTTGGGGCGAGTGCTGTTAGCGGCCGGCACGGCACAGCAGGGGGTCGGTGGCCAGCATACCACACCGGGAATCGAACTCGTGTCGCCGGGGTTTGAAGCGCAGAGCGCTAACCGCGACATTACCGCTCCTAGGCATTCACAACGCGCGCACACACACACAATGCGCAAACACACACAATGCGCACACACACACAATGCGCACACACACACAATGCGCACACACACACAATGCGCACACACACACAATGCGCACACACACACAATGCGCACACACACACAATGCGCACACACACACAATGCGCACACACACACAATGCGCACACACACACAATGCGCACACA